GTGTATCCAAATATAAAGACCTGTTGTCCCCTGCAGAGGAAGGCAGGATGTGCTCCAATGGAGCAAAGCTCAGGGAGCCAAGGTTCAATCTGGATGCCAGGAAGTACTTCCTGTCAGTTAGGACCCTGAGGGTATGGAATAGGCTTCCATGGGAGGTGGTTGAGGCCCCATTTAGTGATCAGCACCACTGCAGTTAAACCATATAGTGATCAGCACCACTGCATATCTGCATAATCTAACCTTGGGTTCTATTACACTGTGGGAAACCTGTGGTCCTTCAGATGTTTTGGCCTACGACTCCCAAAAGCCCTAGCCAACATAGCTAATAATGAGGAATCATGGGAAACATCTGGAGAGTTACGGGTCACTTGACCCTGTTTCAGAGAATGATGGAATGTCACAGATTTGGCTCATATGTAAGCCAGCAATGAGCTGTCAGCATTCAGGCTGGCCCTGGACAGACTTCATTCCATTTGTCCTTGGCAAAACCCCTGCCCCCAACACGTATGCACAAACTAAGGGTCAATTGCTCCTCTCTGTAACCTAGGACACACTGTTGGAACAGCAGTGAACTTGGTGGGCAATCTATAGCCAAGGAGTGTGTGTCTAGCTGCTAGAACTCTTCCTTGTCAGGGGTCTGCTCAGGAGCAATGATCTACTCCAGATGAAGGAAAAGCCAGGTGGGCATGGTAACCCACCAGATATTCAGGAAAGGGTGAACCTGGCTGTAGGGATGTAAATCTCTCCAAATCACCAAGGACTGTGCTTGGATAAAAACTTCCTTTAGCTGGGCAGGCCTACTGTGATTCCCAAGGTTCTTGTTGTGAATCTTTGTTTTGGCTCCAGCTGCCCAGTCCTAGTTCCTGCCTCTGACTAATTTCTCTTGGCTCTAACACCAGTCTAGCATTTGTGCACCTGTGTCATGCATCCTGATTCCAGATCAACTACACTTTGGCTTGATCCTATCTTGCTTGGGCTCTAGGTATGACAGAATGATACTGGACATCAGCCCTAAATTTCATTGTTGTCAGCAATTGTTTATACAGTTAGGTGCTTTGAAGTATATCACATTGAGAATGAAATCAGTAGTTTACTTTTTTCATTAATAATAAAATGAAGGGTGGTTCTCAGCTGGGGTGAACTAAACACCTGATGCTTCATGGATGTAAGTTCTAAACTTCTCTTCTAGATCCAATGAAGAACAGCCTTGTGGATGAACACAAATATAGCAGGTTTGTGAAATGAAACACTGAGATGGCCAGGCCAGATTGCAAAGTCATTTGCAACTGCTATGGGCTGCAATGCCTCCTACCTGTTACTGTTACATCCAGAATCCTTGCTTCGTACCATTAGAGGAGCAATGGGCTATAAGTTACTACTGACACACTATAACAACTGCTATCTCTCTGACTGTTTAACTTATGTCTTGTGAATATGTATCTTTATTAGAACTACATATTTTGAAGACCAATAGACCTTTACACTTATTCTGACTCCTTAGAAAAAAGTGGACTGCAAACAATGGGTTATATTTAATAAACTATTATTAAAAAGAGCTAGGAATGGTGTCGAATATCACACAATCATTTTGCTCCTAAATGGTTTGTCAGGGGATACATATACGTAATACAATTTTAATCGTGTGGAGAACTGTCCCTTTGATTCCACAGCTAAGTAAAACTCCTATTTCTGCTGCTGGTACAGCTACCACCAACTGGGAACAAATTTCTACAATCACATATGATTCATTGTGCCAAATTAATCTCTGTCATGAGCTCCCTCCCCATAAAAGAAAATGTGCCAGGTGTTCAGGTGATAGGCAAGCTGAGACAAAGGACCCATAGTCTGGTGGTGCACTGAGAGGACTGAAAGGACACCCCAGTGACAAGCTTTCCAGACTTTGGAAAGTACCTAGACATGAAGTGGAATCATATGATCTTCCAGTATCGGTTGATTCCTCAAGCATAAAAAGATTATGGTCAATGATACAAATCCAATGGTTGGAATTGCCTCCACTCCACCACCCTGCATCAACTTGAAGCAGGAAGTAGAGAACCAGTACCTAATTCACAGAGGTCCTATTATGAGCTGTATCATGCCAGAAAATGTCGCACTAATTCCTGGAAATGTATTTTTCCACAATGTATTTTTATTTAAAGCTACATGTTGCATAAAGGATCCCACTTTTTCAGTGGAATTGCTAATCAAAACTATGACTACTTTCATGAATATTCAGCAAAGGCAACATAGATCTTTGCAGATATAAAAGTTTTACTACCTCCTTTACCAGTCTCACAGCAGACACTTTTCCAACTCTTAACCTGAACATAAAATAAATTCCTTTCCATCTTTGCTATGCCATGCTTTTAAATGCTTGAACATTCATAACTTTTCATTTTCCTCCTTTATACTTTGGACCTATTTGATCAGAAAAAGAACCATACTACAGACAGAACTGAACAGCTACTTTAGACTCAAAAGCAAGCTGCCCAACACATAACCAAACAGTAATAATGAATCTGCACATGGTGCCATGCCAACAGTTCAACACATAGCTGGGCTAATTTAGGCCTAGATTTCATCTTGCTCCACAGCAGGATTTACATTATCCTTGCAGTAATGCAAACAACATTCACAATTGTTACTGCCTAATTAGTGTACTTTGTTTTACTGCAGCTAACCTTCAGCATAATTATTTCCTATTAAGATTTTGCAATACTTCCATATAGTCCAGAAATTTGCTATTATGTTTCGCTTTAAAATAAGAAAACCAGCATCAATCTAAATGTCCAGGTGAGCAACACAACATGGAATGTGCATTAGAGAGCTTTCTCACTGGATTATCTTTCCATCACACTTGTGAATTATCCTGCCTTCCCTCCAAGGAGCTTGGGGTTATATATTTGGGGGTTATCTAAGTCTTCTAATAACTCTGTGAAATAACTTAGGCTGGCAAAGAGTTGCCGAAAACCACCCAGTTCCACATTTGAGTGGGATCAGAGCCAGATCTCTTTAGTTCAAATCAAATACTTCACCTATAATAATGTTTCAGTGGCATATTGTTCTGTTGCTCTTGTACTAGGGCTACAGAATACACATGTAATAAGAAAGTTATCTATGCTGATTAAAACACAAAACAAAACATGTTATCACAATATCACAAGAATGCCAATGACAATAGGCACCTTTCAAGGTGTTTATATATTCATCCAAATTCATTCAAATTCACCTCAGTACTCCAGCTTTCATTACGTATCATGAGAAGTCATATTAAATAGTATGAAGTAAGGATGCTTGTTGAAAGTTTTCTACTGATAAATTTAGATCTAATATGATCTTAATATGACCATGGCAACAGAGGTTGATTTCAGAGTATGGAAGAACTATATTACATTAGTTCAATGGAGACAGACAAAATGCAAAGCTGGAGGAACACACGTTACTGCTGTTTTTGATGTAAGGGATTAATGGAAATCAATGTTATTCAATTAGATTTCAGTTCTGCTGTTCATTCATTCACCTGTACATAGAATCCCATTAAAGTCAACAGAATGGATAACTACACCTACTAAACTGACATGAATACAAAATTACAATGTATTAAAATATCTATCTGTGATATTTGTAAAATGAGATAGAGAAAAAACAGAATTTCTTCCACTTCATAAATTCATGCAAAATTTTAAATGCATAACTTAAAGTCAAAATTAGTCAAAATGGGTGGGGCACCTGCAGCATCAACAGGTGCATTTGAAAAGTGATTGGGGAGCCAGAGAAGAATTCTCTGTTGCATGATGGAGAAGAATAAACTGCAAGAATATAACTTCACTCATGTAAACTGTTTAAAGAGTGGTATATATTGGGCTGTATTCATCTTCAGATAGATTCTAAACTCATCTATAATGAGTGAAAAGGAACTGAAGGCATCCAGTTTAATAAAAACAGAGAAAAATATTTGTATTTAACTACTCATTGTCACAGCCTTGAGCCATGATTGGCTGACATCTGTGCTCCATCTGACAGAAGCAGATTGGTATTCTCGTCACACGCCTCGCAATTCCTGTATTTGCTGTCCTTTACACATTATACCCACATTGCATTATTTACACAACTATAAACCTTTCAGTAATGTTCACAAGCAGCACCTTCCCTATGCAAGTCTGCCTCAGAATTAATTTTAAATCCAATAGTTGGATGCAACCATCGGGATTATCTCCCTTAAAATATCTAGTAAGTCCAACCCTTCTGAATATTGAATAAAAATTTTTTTTGGTTTTCTCCCAGTTTGTTCATTTATTAGTTATGTTGATTTCCTTGCTCAATGTGATATCTAATTCAGTGTGCCTTTCATATCCATCATGGTAACTTTCTGCGTAACACGAATTGTTAAATAACTGCATTTTGAACTGCAAGTATGACTGAGGACAAACCTCAGCAGCCTTGTATGCAAACATTTCTCTTTACAAACAGCCATTTACTAGAAAGGATGCTGTCATCAGCACACGGACTTGAATTTTAAGAGCAGCCAGAAAGGAGTACAGCATCTGTGTTTGGAGAAGTGGGCAACCCTATTCTTTCCTATTTATTAAATGATTCAATATTGCAGTGTGCCAGGAAGTAATTAGTATGATCAACACAGTGCTGGACATGAAGATGAACAGGCATCTTCCTTTGAGATGTAAAGGGCCTAGGAAGTCCGTATTTCCTATATTTGGTCCAAAAATAATTTTGAAAACCCATTATTCCTTGATGGAACTTTGATTTTCCACTATTGCAATAGAAGTCATTTGTAGCAAGGCCTGTGACCAGATAATATGGCTGAGCAGACCCCACTGTGCTCTTAAGTCACTAGCACTTAACTTACTTTCTTCAAAGCAATTTCTTATACAGCTAAATGCAAATGTATTTCTTTACAGCTAAGATTAATAACCAGGCACCACTAAGTAAGGACCAACAGAGAAGGACACACACATAATGCATTTGTGAAGTAATATACTCACCATTAGCACTGCAAAGTTACCGAAGTGAGTACTATGAAGGGTAGTAATATTGTCTGCAGAGCTAATTATGTGGCACCCTTCTCCCCACCAGCCTCCATGTCCATCTAGAAGGTCAAAATCCCAAACAACTGCAATGGGATTTATACCCTGCGTAAAGTGCTTCAGTGCTATAGTAACAGGACTGGTGAGGTTTCTGATACTGCACCCATCTGCAAAAGGAACAGACTGAATTAGAGCAATGAGCTGGAAAAAGCTTTATTACTACATGCTCTCTACAGAGCTTCTTAACATTTTGTACACACTGTGTCTCTCTTGCCACTGCCAACCACCTCTCCCACCCCATCCTGATCTATCAGCATAAAAACCATCTACAAAAGTTTGAAATAGTTAATATTATTCACAATTGCATTTTAGTCAGTTGTTTTTCACATGATATGATGCACATTTGTAAGACTAGATTTAGAACTGAAAAACCTTGCATTAAAATAATGACATCATTGCTTCAAGTAACAGCAACAATAGTTTGAAAAAATCAGGTCCTGTGATATGATTAACAGCTTAGGTATGTCTTAGTATGTAATTCAAATTAAAATCTCCTAAAATGTGAACAGAAATGTGAACACAATTCAAGATCAAATAAATGTTTAAAATTGCATGGGCTGAATATTTAATCAAAGGAAAATCTTTAAGCCATTACTTTCACCTTTAAATGCTCCTTATCTTACACTGATGACGAGATATATAGAAGCAACAGGGCTCCCTCCCCCCACCCCCACTCACTTTTCAGTTCTAAATTGCAATTCTCCAGAATTTTATCTTTCAGTAGCCTCTGAAGAGGAAAAGCAGCATCCTCCCACTGGTCTCCTCACCCCAAGCAAGCTCCACTTTAGTAATAACTTCAATAAACAACACAAATAATAGTGCTCAGGTTTATCATTCATTTATAACTGCACCACTTCATTGATGTGTTAGTTTATTGGAATAACACTATACAAGTAGCAGTAAGACTATACATTTGTGTTAAAGCAGAGGCAATTTTCACATCAGCATACCTGTGTACTCCACTGCACCAATTTTTTTTTAGAAACCCTCACGTACAGACCAGCTTCAGGATTAAAGAAGCAGTGCACAACACTTACCTATTTTAATGAGGACAACTGGCGTACCAACAGTCCTGTGCTTCCCATAATCTGCAAGGTTAGATGAGTTTGCAGTGCTTGGGAAGAGTTTTCCATTCCGAAAAGCAATAAACTGTAGCTTGCAAGAGGAGTTATCAACAGATTGCAAGGCTGAAGACGAAAAGAAGACAGACCGTGGCAAATGAACTGAAGCTACTGCCACAGCATTCTGTACAATGAAAGGAAAAAAGAAAATTTAAAATGCAAATCACAACAGGGTTGCTTTCATTATGTTTTAAACTCCTGTACGAGAAATGCACACTGCCTTTCTCTTCCAACATACTAGAAGCAACCAAAGAAGCAGGAGCTGTAACCATGGGAATAGGATTGGTACAGTGCATATTAAAACAGAAAACGTTTTGATTGAATGTGCGAGTCTGTATGGTCAAGCTCCCTGCTGCAGAGGTGAGAATGGTTCTTACCATGCCTGCTAGAGGGTCCATCAACACTGCAGATCTGATTTAAAGAGACAACCTCTACCAGGTTTTCTCCTTCACTTAAAACAGAATCAGACAACTTACATTAAAACAGATCTCTCTGAAAGAGTAATTAAAGGGGACTGAATTGTGTTTTATTAATTTAAAGAATTGCATTGGAGGATGATTCTAAACACTGGAGCATGCAATGCAGTCAGTTCCTTGTAAGACCATGATTTCATCCTTAAAAGAAAATCTCTCATCTTGCTGTTGCAGGAAATGTGGAATTAAAAAGATTTAACACAAACATGCCACAAGGAAGTAAGGAATAGATCAGAGCTGTCAGAACACAAGAATGGGACATAGCTGTGATTGTACTATGCCTTTTTAGATTATTGAAACAAATGGCACACTGTTTACCATTAGATTTTAAGCTTATTTTCCTTCTACTATTTAGCTTTTTTCCCCCTTATGCACATGGTGACCTTGTCATAATTAATCCTAGAAGCATGTATGAAAAAGGAGGGGGTCATAAAAAGCGGAGCAGAGACAAAACAAGGGAATGCCCTGAGATTTACAAAGTCTTACAATAATTGCCCTTCCAGCAGCATGAAAACTGAGTAGTTTTCATTTCTCCAGCAGCAAACTGCAGCTGCTGTGGCACATCATTGCCATATATTGCCCCACAGTTTCATAAAGGCAGTCTTTATGAAAACAAGAACAAAAATGGGACCATACCATCATACTAATATGCATGACATCACAGCTATTGTTGCTAGCTGTGATGGATATGTTACCAAAAAGCAGACACCAATAGACAAAGTTAAATTCTAAAACAAATTAGGTCATCATGATAAGAACAAAGTGAGAGACTAAGGCATGGGCTATTGGCAGGAAGGGGTTGTGATTCAGAGAATGTTGTCACCGACCATTTCCTGTGGAGCCAAGGGGCCAATACCATCATTACCAACTGATCATGTAGACAAGTCTAAGGATACACATAAGGGTTTCCAGCATCAAACTACTATAATGTTGTAAGTCACCCCGAGGCTTTTTGCGAATGGGGCAGCATAGAAATGGTTTAAATAAATAAATAAGACAAGATGACACATCTCAACTCAGGTGGCATATTTTGAGGGCAACAAGTAGTGAACTGATTCTATTTTTACCACCTTAGAAGGTGCCATCTGGCTTTTTTGTCAGACACCAAAATGTTTTAGGCCATCTATCTCCTCTATGCTACGTTAAGTCCTAATAGATGAAACAAACAGATTGTTGCCTAGTAGGTACATTATCAGAGTGTGTACATATAACCTTTTGTTATGAGCAAAAGGCATTTCTACACCTGACCAGAAATCTATGAAAGCAGAGGAGTTATTAAAATATGTTATCCTGTTTTTATGACAGTATGGGTGAGCACCCAACTTGCCAAGCAGTAATATGCATGTTATGGAAAAGTATCATGTGATAAATGATTTTCATCATTTATCTACTTTTCACCTCAACCCAAGAGGCTTAGACCTCCTCAGTATGAAGATTTTAGAAGGATTTCAAGGAGCATTTAACGACAGATCACAAAACAGTGAAGACAGCCAGCTAGGAAGTATGGTGAAACTGGTCTGAACTAGCAGTGCCCAGTGGGGCTCTGTGCTATGCAGAATCACTGTCAGCAACCACATATGAACTTGCATGGTGCTGGCTGCAGCACCCCACCTCCAGGCTTGGGAAGGTATTGGTTCAAATTCCCCTTGCACAAAAACACCATTCAGCATCTGAAAGCAGTTCTACTTAGGAAACTAACTTACCCATCTTCATTTAAAAAACATATTCATTACTCTAAAAACAGGCCTTGTAATTCAGTTGCTCAAACAATTGCCCCCACATTTTGGGTTCTATAACTTGTCTTTGCTTAAATTTGTTAGTCTTTCTTCATTTCCCAAATTTCCACACAGCCAAAAAGGAATAATCAGATTTCAACATCAACCAGTAGACCGTATGGCCAAGATACCCAGATAACGTGGTGGTAGGGAATACTTTCATGAACCAAACAAGTTTCACACTTTCTTACTCTATGCATTAGTGCATTAAATTGGTACTTCTTTTCATACTCTTTCATTTCAGCCATAAGCATTTGCATCTTATTTGCCATAAGTACTACTTGATTTGCAGGGTGTGAGGAGTCGGGAGATGAATAGGATGCTGAGAATCCTACAGATTCAAAGGCTTATAGGTATCCTTCTTAGATTATATACTAATGTGCAAGCCTATGCATGCCTATCCAAAAGGTAACTCCCACTGACTTCAGTGAGACTAATTCCAAAGTAAATGTGCACAGAATTGTGACTTCAGGGATCCATATTCCATTGCTGGCAGAGGGACCTAGGCCTAGGTAGTGGCTGCTGGTTCCCATTATGGTGGGGGTGGACAGATTGCAGAACAGGTAGTGGTAGTCAGTTCTTGAAATAATAGGCAGAGATAGCAGTGAGCGCAGTCAGGAACACAAATTGTACAGCATGCACCTTTTAAAAATGGCATGCACCATTTTTAAGTTAAAAGAAAGTATTTTAAAGATATTTATTAGCAGTATTGCTCTGTTGTGTTTCACAAATTAAAATTTAAAGCCATCAATTCTAAAATAAACTGAATTAACACAACATAAAACATTTAAAACAGCCACAAGGAAAAAATATATTATTGTTTTTTAAGTGGGCTCAGTGTGTAACAACCAGGTCTTATTTAAGAATAGTTGGGGAAGGAACCACACATACATCCCATGCAAGGGCATTTCACCATGGAAAATGTCCCCCCATGAGGGACTTGGATGGCTGTGTTGTATACCAGCTGAAGCCTCTGGACTGTCTTTAAAGGCAAAGATGAATGCATGACAGTATTCTAGCTTGGAAATAACCAGAGCTTGGATGGCAGTAGTAAGCTTCACTTTTTTCTAGATAGGGTGTAGCCAGTGTTATCTGCTGAAGTTTCTACAAGGCAGCCCCAGTAACTGATTTTATTTGTGCTGCCACAGATAGTGTTGAGTCCAGGAGAAGCCCCAAGTGCTGGATAACACCTGTCTTAGGTTAGCAGACTTTTTTGCCTACAATACTTCTGTCTTATCTGTATTAGACTTGTCTACCTTCAGACACCTGGTCATTAGACTTGTCTACCTATGGATACCTTTCCAAAGCCTTTATGTTAAGCATGTTTGCATGAATTGCAGGCAGCCAAACATCTACTCCGTATTAGCATTGTAGTCTTCTGGTTAATTGTTCCATTGCCATACACTAACTATAAATAAAGAGAAATATAATAGCATTTGAAATTATTAAGTAATTACTATTGAATGGTTCCATTTGAAATTGATATTGAATAAATAGACAGATTAAAATGGATTAATATGGCATATGATGCATATACTTTTTCTTGTAGCACAAGACCATGATTAAGAATTGTTTCTAGCTGAAATAAAACTGGGTTTTATGA